TATCTGGACTATTTTTATAATTTATTTTTATCTGGACTATTCCTGCTTAAACTTGACTAGCAAAGGGGGAACCATTCCAATTAGAATGTTTGTTCTGACACAAAAAGACTGGATTCAAGATAGACATGATCAAAATATTTATTTGCGGGAATGTACATGTGCATATGTACAAAACACATCATTAGTGACATCCAGGAATAAAAATAAAACAATGTAACATTCACTCTGTTTTTCACAAGAAGGGAACTTTCAGGGAACTTTCAGCACCAAAATCAAAAGCCATTAAATTGGCAATCATTCATCATAACAGGGTGAAGGATCCCTAAAATTTTAATCCAGAAAAACAAATATTGTCTGGGTATCCATATAGTGTAGTGGCTACTGTGTCAGCCTAGGACCTGGAAGACCCAGGTTCAAATCCCCACTCAGCCAAGAGAAGGAGAATCGTGCCATCCCAATTGGAAACCAGTTGAGTATTGTTAGACAAGATCAGGGAGATCTCCATTCAAATCCTTGCTCAGCCATGATCTCCGTGTACTGTTTTGGGCCAGTCTCCACATCTCAGTCTAACTTAGAGAGCTGCTGTGAGGATATAATCGGCATAATAACCCAATGTATACTGCTCATGTATGGTTGCCAACTCCACTTGCACCATAGAGACCAACAAGGTTTCCAGGGTACAAGCTTTCGAGAGTCAAAGCACCCTTCCTCAGACACAAGTAGGAAGGGAGATCTGAGTCTTTTTTATCCCAGTCACAAGGTGGGAGAAGTGTTATAAAGAGTAGTTATAACTTATAAAAGAGTTATAAAGGATGCAATAAAAAGATTCAGATCTCCATTGTGTAAGACAGAAACTCCGTCACGGGTTGCGCTTCCCCAGCCCAATTTGAGAAAGCACTTGGCACATTCCTGTAGAGTAAAATCCAGGCTAAAAAGTTTATTAATAAAGGAGGGAAAATACAGGCACAACAAGGTTTTGAATCCTTGAGTACCCACAGCTCTCCCTAAGGTTACAATAGGAGACATAGGGTTTTAAACCCACTATGACGCTTTGCAAATAAATCAGAATTATCGGTTCCATCAAACTTTGTCATATATCCGTCACACCATTCTGATTGGGCCCGAACCTGTGGGTTGGATTTTCACAGGCAAAAATGTACCTCCTACAGCTAAACAATAGGCCTTCTTCTTCTCAGGCTGTGAAGTTCCAAAAAGTATCTAATGTAACAGATATGGGTACATCATGCAGTATGTTCTCCATCTAACGCAAGCGAGCTGACATCAGGAACATGCGCAGTCACAGATAGCCATCACGAGCAAGGTCATAAGCAATCAGTTACTGCCTGTCAGCATTTAGTATTTTCCCCAGAATGATTTAAGCATTGAAGCAAAGTGAATACCTGAATAGATATTCATAATTGATTTCTATCTCTGTAATTAGAATCATCAATGGCACTTAACATATCTGTATGTCTGTGTATGTCATAGGTGCTAACTGAGTCCACTAAGGTTCGTCTACTAAGGCAGACAGAGTGCTGAGTGCATAACAGTGTCACATATAAACTATGCGTACAACAATTGTGTCTAATGAAGGGCGCTTTAACTTTCAAAGGCTTGTACCTGAAAACCTTGTTGGTGCTACTGCACTCAGAGCTAACTATTATTGTTGAATCATAGTATTTGTTGGCAGAAGAAGAGGGACATTATAATATTGTATGTACATTTCCAACCCCTTCCCAAGTGTACTCCTTTGTGCAGTTCAGCCCTAAGCACGACACCTGCAGTAGCCAATACAAAAGGAAGAAAAGACTTATCATCATCCCACAACGGCTCGTAAAAGCAAAGTGAGAAAGTTATTAGTAGCAAGTAGCTGTGGTGGGGGTGGGGAGAGTAAGAAGAAACCAAAGTCAAGATTCGGAATAAAATTCCTTTCAAGACAACAGAGAACTCTTTTAATGTTAAACTAAATCATAAGAAATGTAAGGAATTCATATCTTCACAGTTCCAGGTATTTTCTAATCTGTAATTATATATGTTGATATTTACTGGTAAATTATAGAAATTTGTGGTGAAACCGTGACATTTATTGAAGGCATGTTGGTATTTTTAATAGCTATAATAAAAATGTCAAAACAAATGAGTCACAATTCATTTTTGACATTCATACTCAAGTTGTAGTAAATACTACCCTTTATTGGTAAAAGAAATAACAAAATTTGTTCATTTACTGAGGGCAGTTAGTTGGATTTGAAATTTACTTACAAATATCAAAAATGATTTTTCTTCTCATGCGTACGTGCCAACCATGATAATGTTGCCCTGTCATGGTGAAGAATGAAAAGGAGTCTGTAATTTGTTCATGAACCAAAGAACCTTAGATTTATCAGGAAATACCAGAAAATTGTTCTCTTAGATTTATCAGGAAATACAAATTGTTCTCTTAGTAAAATTTTAAATGATGGGTAATTACCAGTCTTCAATGAGTTTTGTTCGACATCGTGTGTGTGAGAGTGTAAGGACATTGTATCTGTCTATGCAAAGTTTTCTAAATGATAAATAAATGCTGGAAGAGAAAAACCAGAAATTCATTAACTTACCATCTTACATAAGTGTCAAAGAATTAAAATATGCTGGAGTACAGGGAAATCAGACAAGAGGCTGTTGTTTTGATTCATTAAATCTGCTGAAAGAGAAAAGTTGTAATTCTTATCTCAGGACAGGTAACTATGTTGGAGTGAGTGACTCAGCATGCCTGGAAATGGGGGGGGGGGGGCCTGCTACATCACATTGTCTCCTTGAATGGGATGCCTCTCTTTGTCTTAACCTGGGAGCTGTCCTCTGACCCCTCCTCTCTCCTTCTGTGTCCTCTCAGTGTCCCTACATGGCCTTCCATGGAGACAACATGTCTCTGCAGGTCTCTCCTATAGATACAATTGCCCTCTCATACTCCCACACAAATGATGCCGGACAAGCTGGTCATTTGTGATAGGGAAAGTACTCTTTAGATTAGGCTTCTGTTTCTTCTTTTGACTGCAACCTGAATGTGAACTGGATCTACCTGAATAAATGTAAGTTTACCTTTTTTGCAATATACTTCTTGGGAGATTGATTTACTGTATCATGCTTCTATGACTTTGCAAAACTCTGCTATGGCCCCAGTCACACGGGCAGGAAAATGTGGGGGGGGGGGCGAGCGTGGCTGTTTGCCCCGGAGCAAAATAACGCGCAGCTGCATGATCAGACGTCCAGTCGAGGTCCTGTCGAGGTCCCGTGGTTAGGGGGGAGGTGCCGATCAGAGGACAATCCTGTGGCGCGGCCAAGAAGCGGCCTCTCTAGCAAAAAACTCCGCAGGTTTAACCCCTTCCAGGACTGCAGATGAATGCAAACTGTGTCCTCCCTCCTGTCCCCTCCAGGAGGAGCTTCAGCCAGGCCGCCCTCCCGCCGCGCCCCCCCTGCACCTCCCCCTCTGCCGCTCGGTGCAGAGAGTTCCTCTCGAGCAGGCCGAGCGAGGAGTGGGGGGGGTACAGAAAAGAGGAGGGGGCTGAAGTGTGCGCATGCGCCGTTGGGTGCTTGTGCGCATCCCGTGGAGACTTGGGAAAAAAAACCTTTTTGCGAGGGGACATGGGCGGGCGCCGGATGCCACGACCTACCACCGGAAATGCGATCAGGTGCCTGCCCTTGCCCCGCGGTTTCCGGAAACTAGTACCTCGGAGGTACTAGTTTTTTACCCCGCATTTTCGGCGGGAAGCCTCGGGTTCGCCACGGGAGCTCTACGCTTCCCAGATGTGATGCTGTGATCGCACCCGGAAAATCCGCCTATCTTCCGTCTCTGTAGCGTGGCTAATGCTCCGTGTGACCGCAGCCATTATTAACCAAATATTCCAATTAACTTTTAGAGAGAGAAAAGGACCCAGCCAATCCCATTCAGGAAAACTGTGGCAGAGAAGCTCAGGAACATGGGTGGCAAGCCATATGCTTTAACCAATATGTCCCAGTCCCCTATCAGAGCTTCAGAAAGAACTCAAGAATCCTGTCTGTAATCTTTCTAGTTCTTCTTCCCTGCATGCCAAATGCTTGTCTTTCTGTGGGAGGTGTTGTTTGTGAGCCAGTACACAAAGGAGACGGTGCTGGAATTAGCACATATACATCTAGGATGGGCCCTGTAATGTGTACTTGTTTTCTGCTTCCTTGGTCCTCTCCCTGACACAGCTACAAACAGCATCCATGAGAGCCAATCAGAACCGTCGCTTCCACCTCTCATCATTAAGCACAGCTTGCCTAGTTTCTCTCCTGTGTTCAGACACCAGCATTAGTCACAGTAAGTCCCGGGATGCACTAAAGGAGGCAGGAGGAAGAGAAGGAGCTAGCACAGCTGTCTCTCCCACTTCGTGGCAAAAAGACCAGCCAGGAAACCAAAGCTGAGAGTTCTGACCATGCTGTGGAGGGAATGAGTGGGACTTTGTTGTGGCACAGAGAGGAAATTCTGAAAGCTTTGAAAGACAAAAGATTGTAGTGGAAATGGGATCATCTCAGGCAGAGCCTACAGGCACAAAAGGTACCGTCTGGGTGGTCTACCTACCCCATCTTGGCTCTCACAGCAGCATCACCTCTTATTAAGAATAAGGAGACCAGAAACTGGAGGAAGCAGTTCAACCGTCCTTTCGGCCAGCCCACATTTGGCTCACATCCTAAAGTCTATGGGGGATTGTAGCCTTCCCCCAATTTGCAAACAAGCTCCATTTTTACAAGGACTATCTATACCATGCACCCCCTTGGCTAAGAGACTGCTCATCCCTGGGGCATTAGTAGTTTCAGCACCTCTCACGAATTTTGTGTTTTCAAGACCAGAGACTTTCCAGCCAGGCTTCTCAGAGGGACAGACTACACATTTCCGGCTGTTGGCACGAGCTGCCTTGGTAGTCCACTCCAAATGGATGCTGAGCCTTTGCCTTCAGAGCTCTGGCCCAGATGGACAGCAGAGCCAACATCCCGGCCAGGCAGTGCCAAGCCCAGCACAGGTGCCCTTGAGGATAACATGCACTTGTGGATCTTTAACAGCAGTGGAGAGGATACCTCCCCCCCATTTCTGACCGATGCATGGCTTGTGCCCCTCTTTTACGCCCTCATTATGCTGCTTGGTCTGGTCGGGAACTCACTGGTCATCTATATCATCAGCAAGCACCGCCAAATGCGCACGGCCACCAACTTCTACATTGGTGAGTGAACCACCTACCTCTTACTCGCCCCCGCTCCTTGGTTCGGGAGTTGCCCTGTCGCTTCTTGCTTTTCTGACCATTCGCACTTCTGCTCCCCAGATGCTAACCTACGCCACTCATTAAACTCATAGGAAGAGATTCAGACTCTTCCCAGCCCAGCTGTCTGATCTTCTTCTGCCCTCATTTGCAGCCCCCATTAGTGGCATTATCAGATTCCACCCATAGATCCTGTCAACCTCTGTCTGAGTGCGACCCTGGCACCGATCCTCCCGTGGCCGTGACGTCAGTTGCCCCAACAGGGTAGACGGTCCTGTCAGCGGAGGGTACTCAAAAAGAGAGGGGAGGAGTGAGGAGCCTCAGACAGGCAGGGGCCGGGGTTAAAGCCACCCCGCAAGTCCCTCTGCCAGTGTGCGTCGGGAAACTCTTTTGCTCTCTCTCAGCTTTTCCGCCTCTCTATACCAGCGTCTCCTCTACTAGCTCCTGCGCACACTCCTCCTCCTCCCCGGCCCCTTCTCCATCCCCGCCTTGTACCTCCCCACCCCGCTCCCAGCACCGCCCGTCTTCCCAACTGTGGCCCTGCGAGTCATCTCGGCCCCGCCCCCTTTTATTAGGACGGCCGACGCGACTAGGTGCCAGGTTGGGTGGGGTTGAAGTTGCGCTGGCCTCTGGGCCGCGCCACTGGCGCCCAAGTGTAGCTGCGCTCGCCTCGCAGGGCTCGCTCCCGGGCCCCCTGTGACGCCGCCGGGGCCGCGGATGACTTCGGCTGCTCCACGAGGGGCCCGACCGGCGCAGCCTTATCTCCTTGGGGCGGGGTCGTCAGCTTCCGCGTCTGCCGTCCGTCGCGGACCGCTGTGCCCCGGCTCGCCTCCCTCGCTGTCCTCCAGGCCGTGGACTCCTTTGGCGAGTTGGATGCTTGCGGGGACTCGGGGGGGGGGGGGTTGTTCCGGGGGTTGGGGCCCGCGAGGCCTCCGAACCGGGACAGATCCCAGTGAGGGTTGTTAAATGGACAGTGCAATCCTAATTAGAATTATACCCATTTAAGTCAATGTGCTTCGAAAGGTGTAACTATGCTTAGGATTTTACTGTAGAGCATTTTGATCCCTGACATTCACGACCTTTTTCACTGTCACTGATGGAAGAAAAGGTTATTGAGTTAATATGACAGTGAACTGGCTGTAGTACTATGTCTCTTAAAGGCCATTTCATTCTCCATGGACCAGTGCTGTTTTATTACATCCTGCCTTCCCTAGGCAGTTCAGTAGATAAAATGTTCTCTAATATTGGTGCTGGCAGCTTATCCCTTAAGATTTGCATTTATTAATCTTACAGACAGCTAGTTAGAACAAACCTGTTCCAGAATTGCTTCCTAACACAGTTATGGATGGATCACAGTAGCCCATAATGTCCTGCTAGGTTAGTTCCTGGGATGTATTTCATATAGGGGTCAGCTGGGAGGGAAGGCAGCATGGCATAGTCCAATCTTGTCAGATCTTATTTATTTATTTATATTTATACCCCACCCTCCCCACGAGCTGGCTCAGGGTGGCTTACAACAAGGCATAAAGTGCATATAGTATAAAAAGATAAAACAGAAGCTAAGCAGGGTTGATGCTTGGAAGGGAGACCACCAAGGAAGACTTTGCAGAGGAAGGTAATGACAAACTATCTCTGCTTCTCATTTGCCTTGGAACTGCCTTGAAATTTCAGCATGTAACGGCACCAAGTACAAACTGAGGATACTGCACACATACTGCACACATTCATTGGTAGTATGAAGTCTCCCTTGCTTTTTCTTTCTTGCCCGTATACAAAATGAGCCATATTCATTGAAATATCTTAAGAAATCCCATCCAGCCTTGCTAGAATGGCACCCCCCTCAGAGCTAGACAAAATAACTTGTTCTGCACCTCCTTTATTTCTGCCAAGGAGAAAAGTGCTTGGGAAGGACCTTCAAATCATTAGCTGGAGCTGGACTTGAGTTTTGCTTGCCTGTGGGCACACCTAAGGGGTTCCCACATGGCCCACCATTTTCCATTTTCTTAAGCAACAGAAATATGCATAGCTCATTGTTTTCTAAGTCTAGTGCATAGACAGAGTTGTTCCTTCTGAAAGCTTAGGCTGAATTTGCATAATGCACAGAAAAGGAAGCTCATATATTTGTGAAATATATAAAGATTTTTATTGGGATAGGAATGAAACTAATGTGATGCAACAAGAACCATGGTCTTAACCATATCTTTATTGTGGAATATTCAGGATATATTGGGATAGACCCTACCTCTATCCTCCCACTCCACTGAGTCAAGTTTGAAGTCTTTTTCCAGCCTAAAGAGCCTTCTTCCAGCTTAAGTGGCTCTTCCATTGGAGGAAGAGCCACTTAAGTTGGAGGATGGCTGGTTAAGCTGGAGAAAGGCTATTTGGAGGATGGTTGGATCCACCCTATTGGCACTTTATGTTAGCTGGAATCCCATTTAGCATTAAGTAGGCAAAGTGAACCACAAGGATGGAGAATGGTGATATTGAGTGATTCCAGTTCTTCTGTATGTGATCTCCACTGCATCTTGCCTCTACCTTCTGCCAGGGAGCTTCTCACCCATTTGATGCAACTAGTCTCCAGTTTTAAGCTGGGGGGTGTGGCTGACAGCCAGAGCTACTCCTGTAGTAACATAATCTCTATGTCTCTTGCAGCAAACCTGGCTACCACTGACATCATATTCTTAGTATGCTGTGTACCCTTCACCGCCACACTCTATCCCTTGCCCAGCTGGGTTTTTGGGGATTTCATGTGCAAATTTGTCAACTATTTGCAGCAGGTGAGCTTGAGTGGTGGGAGAATCTGTGTAATATTTAAGTGTACAAAGAGATCTGGTGGTGGGTATGTCTGATGTCTGTGTAACAGCATGACTGTATACATGCAGATAGTGGTAGAAGAAGAGAAGAAGAAGAGATTGGATTTATACCCCGCCCTTCACTACCCAGGGGAGTCTCAGAGCGGCTTACAAACTCCTTTACCTTCCCCTCCCCACAACAGACACCCTGTGAGGTAGGTGGGGCTGAGAGAGCTCTTGACAGAAACTGCTCTTTTTCAAGAACAGCTCTTATCAAAACTACGGCTTGCCCAAGGTCATCCAGCTAGGTGCAAGTGGAGAAGTGGGGAATCAAACTCGGTTCTCCCAGATTAGGGTCCGTGCACTTAACCTCTACACCAAACTGGTAGGTATGCAGTGGTCATTCTTGTCTTATAGGAGGAGGGGCTGTGTTCAGAGGTACATATGGTCAACTCACTAGTGGATATAGTGGATATAGATTCCAAGCTTTTTACTTATGGGTCCTTGTTTTCCCACCAGGTAACAGTACAGGCCACCTGCATCACTCTGATGGCTATGAGTGTTGACCGCTGCTATGCTACACTGTATCCACTGCAGTCCTTACGTTACAGAACCCCCCACATAGCCATGGCTGTCAGTTTTGCTATCTGGATTGGTGAGTGTGACCAGCAGGAGCTATGCATACATAGCTAGAGGGCCAAGACAAGAGCTTCATGTGGAAGAGCCAGAGCTAGACCTAAATCCTAACATCTGTCTTGAACTTCCCAGGACCAGCTCCATAAACTCATATGGAATTCTGTATTAAGTTCTCTATAAGGTGCTTGGTACTGATTCCCAGTCTCCTCTTCTGTGGAAGCGTAACCACACAGTATCAAAATGAAGCCCCATTGACTGTTCTTCAGTTTTCCCCTGAGCTCAGGTTGGGTTTTGACTTCTGCAGGTGACACAATGGAGCATTGTCCTTCAGGGCTCTGAATGCTGTGTCTTTGGCCTCCAGGTTCCTTCATTCTCTCACTGCCTATGGCTCTATACCATCGCACTGAAGTTGGCTACTGGTATGGCCTGCGCACCTACTGCATTGAAGCCTTCGCCAGCAAAAGCCAGGAGCGCAGTTTTATTCTGTATACTTTCCTGGCTGTTTATCTGTTGCCTCTGTTCACCATATGCTTCTGCTATTCCATCATGCTCAAGCGCATTGGGAATCCTGTGGTGGAGCCCATAGACCATGACTATCAGGTAAGTAGGAGTCCATCCTCCCATACTGACCATCCCAGCAGTTAAGATAATCCTTTCCTCAAGCCCTGCTCTCTGTGTCCTTGCCTGCAGAGGTGAGGCAGATGGTGACTAAAGGCAGGGCTTTTTCAGTGGTGGCACTTTGCCTCTGAGTTGCCTTTATCCTTGAGGCTTGCTGGGCATTTATCCTTCTCTCCTTTAGATACTAGAGCAAAACAATTTCTTTTTATCAAGGATTTTAACTGAGAGGTAACATCTTTTCTTAGCTGTTTTATGATCTGCCTCTGTCCCGAGTATTGTTTTATAAATCTCATTTCAGGCTGCCCAGTGTTTGCCTTATACTGGGAAAGATTGAAGGTCAAAGAAGACGGGGACGGCAAAAGATGAGATGGTTAGACAGTGTCATAGATGCAACGAACATGAAATTGAGCAAATTTCAGAGGACGGCGGAAGACAGGAAGGCCTGGCGTGATCTGGTCCATGGGGTCGCGAAGAGTCGGACTCGACTGTGCGACTGAACAACAAAAGCGCTTAAGAGCAGTGGACTCTATTGGAGAACCAGGTTTGATTCCCCACTCCTCCACGTGAAGCCAACTGGGTAACTGTGGGCCAGTCACAGCAATCTCAGAACTCTCTCAGTCCCACCTACCTCACAAGGTGCCTATTGTGGGGAGAGGAAAGGAAGGTGATTGTAAGCTACTTTGAAACTGATTAAGGAAGAGAAAGGTAAAAGGTAAAGGTTCCCTTGCTCGAAAGCCAGTCGAATCCGACTCTAGGGTTGCGGTGCTCATCTCCGTTTCCAAGCCGAAGAGCCAGCGCTGTCCGAAGACGTTTCCGTGGTCATGTGGCCGGCATGACTAAACACAAAGGCGCACGGAACGCTGTTACCTTCCCACCGAAGTGGTACCTACTTATCTACTTGCAATTTCTTGCTTTCGAACTGCTAGGTTGGTAGGGTATAAACACCTACTCTTCTTCTTATATTGTTTTTATGGCCTAGCTTGGTTTTGATGCCTTGTTTGGCTTTGTTGTGTTGTTTTAGTTACAAGTCTCCTTGAGCAGTCTCTGGAGAGACAGCATATACATTTTCTGAATAATAAAGAGTTACTCAATTCCATTCACTATGTAGCCTATGTTTCACTTCTAATGAAAAGAAGTCCCAGGAGGACCTGATGAGCAGGATTCTGTGTACTTGGGAAGGGCAATCAAAAAAGATCGAGGCACAAAGACATGACAGAGGTTTATTATTAATCATGTGGGAATGTGGACAGAGAGAACTTCTCCACTCTCTTCCAAAATAGTAAAATTTGGCATTGGATACTGAGACTTTGTGCTTGCATAGCAATTACAGTTGCCTTCTTCATTAAATACATACTTCTGCTCTAACTGACCGGATTCTCTTCCTTACCAAAGCTGGAGATGGATCCTGCTGCCAGCCTGACCTACCTTACTGGGTTGTCGTAAGGAGAAAAATGGAGGAGTGGGAACCTCCCTGAGCTCCTTAGAGCAGGGGTGTTGAACTCATTTGTTACGAGGGCTGGATCTGACATAAATGAGACCTTGTTGGGCCGGGCCATGTGTGTCATAAAATGTAATGCCAGGTAGCAGAGATATAAACTTTATAAAAGACACAAACACAAAAACATGCTTAAAACATTAGCACTCTTGCAACATTTTGTTTATTTAACAGTGTCTGATAACTGACACCTCTTGCTCTGAATTATTACATCAAAATGTCTGTGCTGTTGCAATCTTAACTCTGCTGTTCAGGTGTGTATCTGTAAGCTGCAAACCTACGATGATGCAGCAGCAGCAGAACTGGAACAAGAAACAGAAGACAGCCAATTCCACTGCGTACGTGATAGAAGCCCACCGGCCGCATGTTTGACACCCCTGCCTTAGAGGGATGTAGGATAAGAGTGTACTAAATAAACAAATGTATCCATCTTAACCTTGGGTAGGCCATGTATGCTCTTCTCTTCAATCCCAGCAGGTGCAACATCTGTCAGAACGCTCAGCTGCCGTGAGGGCCAAGATTTCCAAGATGGTTGTAGTGATTGTGCTGCTGTTCACCATTTGCTGGGGTCCCATCCAGTTCTACTTGCTCTTTCAGGGCTTCTATCATCACTTCCAGGCCAACTATGAGACCTACAAGATCAAGACATGGGCCAATTGCATGTCATACGCTAACTCTTCTCTCAACCCCATAGTCTATGCGTTCATGGGAGACAGCTTCCGCAAGTCCTTCAAGAAGGCATTCCCCTTCCTCTTCCGCCAGCGTGTACAGGACAATGGCATGCATTCAGGCTGCCATAACGCTGAGCTAAATTTTGTCGCTTCACCCTGACCTGAATGATGGAGAACTCTGCTTTGTATGCACTATCAAAGGTCATGGAGACTAAGAAGATAAAACTGGATGTCTGCTTAGTTCTTACAGTGGTTATTCCTGAACAACATACAGTGACTGAAACATTGAAGGATCCTACTTCAAATTCATTTGGTGATCATGTTAGTGACTGTGGATTTTAATTCAGAAGTCTAAGCTAAACTGCTAAACCTCAAGACCAGGGCAGTAGCTAGGGCAGGGTCACTGGGTTCTCTGCTTCACTTGGAATTTCCATTCACTCTATCTGAGATTACTGAGGGCTTTTAAATTTGTAAGATTTTAATTTAATTAATAAAAAGCTTCTTTTGAGACTATGAAAATTTCTGGTTAAAAAGACTTAGTGGTGGATGGTGCCCCTCCGGCAGTACTGTTCCAGACTTCACTCATCTGACCAACTTAACACTGTCAACCCTCCCCTTAGCTACTATGACTTGTGAACATGGCAGGGTGCTTAAAAAGCATAAGAGAAAACATTTATTCAAGGAGCATGTTCATTATAAGTATAAAACCCCCTGAATTAACCCAGGATATAACGAGATACAGAAACCTTGGGGGAGGGTAAGCAAAGTTTGCTGGAGAGTCAGTTATTATGAAAGAGTTACTTTTGTGAACTCAGTCATCTTGGGGGGCAAGATTAGCCACGGGATTTTACTGTTGCCCCCCCCCTCTCATGGGCCACCTAAGGATGCCAAAGGGGTGTATTATTGTAGCATGCGAAGTAGCCAAAGGTAAGGATGTGTAAATTCTCTCAGGTTACTATATGAACAAATCTAGGTGCACAAAGCAAAATAAACTAAAGGGAAGTTACTATGCACTTACAATCCATGGTATATTTGGTCTTTGTTAGTTGTACGATACTCCTCCCCGTGCATCTGCAACTCTCTTTAGCATTGTTCCCCTATGACATCCTTTGTGGCAAAACTAACAGGAGAGACAGCTCCCCTAATGCATGCCAAAAACCAACAACTGCAGACAAAGGAACAGCTCCCTTTTCAACCCCTGCCCTGTCCAGGACCCTTAGCTAATCTTGGTTTTGGTCCTGGGCTCAAGCCCACAAGAGCCTGGACCCTCCAATCAGAACACATCAAAGGTTAGCATGTTTCTCCCTGTCAGTGTGGAAATGATGGAGGCGAGCACCTTTCCCACATCCTCCCAGTCACAGAGATACCAGTGTCCCCTTCCTTCACCACAACCGTCACAGTATCACCTGCCACTTATCCATCACAGTTACAATGCAGCCTTAAGGAGAGCTATACCCTTAATCCGTGGGGTTACATTGCTCATGTACTAGACCAGTAATGGGGAGACCCAGGTTCAAATCTCCTTGGCCAGGAAACTCATTGGATATCACTGTACCAGTCACTCTCCCTCAGCCTAACACACATCATAGCAGGGGTCATTTCGTAGAAAAAGAGCTAGGGGAACTCATTAGCATAACTCATTAGCATATGCCACACCCCCGACATCACCGGAAGTGTGTCATAAGGCCACACCCCCTGACATCACTGGAAGTGTGTCATATGGCCACACACCCCACCCCCAACGGTCCCGGCCCTGGCCCCAGGCAGGCAGGGGTGGGGAGAGGCAGGGAGGAAGCAACTTACCCTTCCTCTTCTCCTGCCTCCTCCTGGCTGAATGAGGGCTTCATCATGTGCCCCGGCCCCCATACCCCACCCGGGGGAACTGTGATCCCCCGCGATTCCCCCCGAAATGACCTCTGCATCATAGTGTTGTTGTGAAACTAAAATGGAAGAGACGAGAGCCGTATACACGGCTCTTATCTTCTTGGAGGAAGTGTGGGATAAAAATTAGATAGATAAATGATTGATAGATTATGGATAGACAGACAGACAGAGATCCATTCTGTGCCTGGATTGGGAAACCTATCGGGAACCTCATGTAGTCTGTTGAGTTCTATGATGGACTATTATAACTATTCAAATTTTTGATGCCAGGGAGGGAGGAGTCGCTGCAGATTGCCCTGAGGTATCACAGATACTGATAAAACCAATATGAAGAATCTCTCCCTCAGTCTCATTCTGTCTTCGCTTGCTCACTGTCTTTATCTCTACCTATCAAAATGTAACAATGCTGTCCACCAAAGTACCTAAGAAAATAGCAATCGTTTGCTCTGTGAAAGTAGATGTCGACTTTTGATTTGTGAGCCAGCAGGGGGTGTTGTCACAAGGAAGATCTTGTAATTTGGCTCAACATTGGGTGGCATTCTTCTTGAGTCCTACTGTTTGTATTTTTAATGACTTTTAATTCATATTGAGCCTTTTATCTATCACACAGGATAAATAAATGCTAGAGGCACATTGATCACCAAGTAAAAAGTGAAATGGTCTTTACTCAACCACTTCCCCCCTGAAATACAGCACAGAGAAGCTTTATATATGTGTGTGAGAGAACCAGCCATCCAAAACAATGACCCCATTAGTCTGCTGCTGCTGCTAATAGGAGAGACTATATTCAGAGTATATATAGAATAGCTATCTCTGCTGTAACTACCATGTCATTGTCCCCCTCATATCATATCAAACATGCTAAGGGTTTTCAAGCCCAGGGTCTGGAAGATGTATGCTGCTCAGTGTAATTTGCATGGCTAGCTATGCACAGGGCCCAGGCTGATCCAGTTGTAAACAGGGCTTTTGATTCTCATCCTGCTCAGTGTTTCATCCAACTGAGTATGACTACCTGCTCCCACCCAGCCTTTTGCACCCAGGCTAAGAGCGCTGTCCCCTCATGTGCTTTTAATTCTTGAGACCACCAATGATTGAGCCATGGACAATTTACTTCAGAGTTAATCACATTGTACTCAGTTGGAGCTTACATCTATGCATAGCATCAGGATGTATAGTTTAAAAATATATAATAAATTAAGCTGGCATCATGGACTGCTCATTCATGGTATCCAAATACATACCACATAGTCTCTGACTTGCTGATCTCCATGGGAGGCAGGACTTAACCTGCAGACTATTGCTTAGAAAGGCCTGGAATTGGGTTTGGCATACATGTAGGCTTGTGACCTTGTGTACCAGCTGATCCAGCACCACAGAATTCCTTGCCTTTAACTTAAATAAACCGAGGCAAAGTAGTCTCAGATGTTCTGGAGGCAGTTTCTGGCTATCTCCTGGTGAGGTCTTAATTGGGCCAGATTTATTTATTGATCTATGGCAAAATTACACACAGGAAACACATAATAATATAAAATATATAACCGAGTTGATACAGTCAGTATACAGACAGATTGAACAATCACACTAAATACTAACGTCTAAATTTTCAATCCATTCAACCGCAGCTGGGGAAAGTTCAGGGATACTAGCAGAAAAAGAACAAAGGTAGGCAGAGGAAAAACAGAAAAAGACAGAACTTAAGATGCTTAAAATTGCAGAAGAAAGAGAACTTGAGAGGCTTAGAATAGAGGACAATGAAAGACAAAGAGAAGCAGAAAGAGAACATGAAGAGAGAATGTTTAATTTGAAGCTCCATGAAATTCAGTTAAGGGCAAACCTCCACATTAACTGTAGAGAGGAACACCATCCCTCAGTAGAACAGAAAAAGTTCCCTAGATATCAGAAAGGGGATGATGTGGAAGCTTTTCTGTTCAGTTTTGAAAGAACCTGCCAAGATTTAAATATCGCTAATGAGGACAGGATAATTTACTTAAGACCACAGATTTTGGGGGGGTTGAGTGAAGTCTACTCTGAACTAAGAGATGAGGAGACCTCTAATTACCAGTTATTCAAAGGGAGAGTTAGAGCCCATTATGGGTTCACTGCTGAACAAAACAGAAAAACATTCAGAGAAATCAAAAGAAAGCCTGGGGAAACATTTTCTTGGTTAGGGTGTTGCCTAGACAGAGCCCTAAACAGATGGACTGAGGGTAGTAAAGTCACGACCTTTGAGGACTTGAGAAACCTAATCGGGCTGGAACAATTTTACAGCCAGGTTCCCTCACGGTTCAGATGGGTGCTGAGGGACAAAAAGCTGAAAACAGTTGAGGAAGCAGCCACAATCCTACATGAGATCGAGGGAGATCTAGGAAAAGCTATGTGGGTTAATCCTGTGAAGAAATCCCAAATGTGGGCTCCCTCAGAGAAGTTTGGGCCTGCTAACAACAACCCAGCAAGGCGGGGCAGTCCTCCTCTGGATAGAAAAGGAACAGTCACCTGTTTCCACTGCCAAGAAACAGGACATATAATAAAATTCTGTCCAAAGTTAGAGAGGGGCGAAACAACACTAACTGCCAAAACCATTAAACTTGTGAAGTGCCTGAGCCAAGATACTGAGGCAACAGTCATCCTTGCCCCCACAGTAAACACTCAGCAAGGAAGGCCAGCTAGTGTCTTAGAGATAGGGAGGGTTCAGGAGAGTTTGAACAGAGACTATATAGAGACTGTAACCGTTAATGATAAAGAGACTGACTCATATAGAGATATGGGGGCACAGATTTCTTTAATCCACCCAAAGTTAGTACAGAAAAAACAGTACTTACCTGGAAGAACATGTACTATTAAAGGCATTAGTGGACCTGCTTTTGAGGTGGCTTTAGCCAAGGTCCCTATTAAATATAAACAGTTCTAGGGCAAGTGGGTGATGGTTGTTTATCTAGCATTGGAATTATCTTTTTTATTCGGCAATGATTTGACTTTCCACATAAAAAGCCAAGAAGAAATTCCAGTCAATGTTGTCACTAGAGGTACAGCAAGTCAGATGGAACAGCCCACAGAAACCAAGGCCTCTAGCAGCACAGAGACTGAAACAGTATTTCAAGGCCCAGCAGCAGTAGGGTTCCTGAGTGAACAGAGACAAGATCCCAGCTTGCAGGAACTGTGGCAAAGGGCAGAGAATGAGAGGTTACTGTTGAGAACCCTTGTCAATTTAAAGTTTATGACCAGAGACTATACAGAATGACATTAAAGAGAAAGCATAATGTAGTCTGGGAGAAGAAGAAACAGTC